TGATCACATAGCACACTTCCAAATGGCTACTGATTTCACATTTTTTGTACGAGTTTCCATACTGCATCATCTATCACATTTGAAGTCTTCGATTGGGCAAACATTAAGGAGTGCATTTTTGTACATAATGTACTGTTAATATGTTATGTACAAAATGCACCTGGTGCTCACATGGTATTTTTGTACATAATGTAGCTGGTGCTCACATAACATACACAGCAAAACATTTGTTGTACGTAAAGAAAATTTGGATAATTTCTCATTCTTTACTTGGATTCAATCATTATAATATGCATAATATTTTTGATATTAGAATTTTTAAATCTGATAAATCATTTACAGTAGCCCTAAACAATGGCGCCTGTTCAACTGCACATTAAACATGGAGGCTGTTTTTTTTTGGGGGGGTGTTTAATTTATTTGATTACAGTATAGTAACTTGGCTAAGGTAGTAGAGGTACTTTCAAAGAGAAGTTAGCTTATACATATTTCATATATGCAGAAAACTATGAAACACACGTGCAGCCAACCTGTTCGCTAGAATGTAAACCCAGGTCGAATTATCAGTATTCAACTACTTTACTGCTTGGCTGCTAGCGAAGCCAGAGCTAGATATTTATCACCTAAATAGAATAACTGCTGCTTGCAAATTATGCCTTCCAGTTCCTGCCAAAATTCTAAAAATTTTGACGCTCCTATGTCTTGCTGCCCATTGCACTCATACAGGTTGCCCTGGCCACCGATGAGCATTAAACATGAAGGCAAATGGAATGTAATGGACCGTACGATTACACTTGGTTTCAGACCTGTATGGGGATGCATAATGCATGACATAATGCATTTAACGTGAAATTAGCATTAAACGTGAAGACTGCAAGCATTAAAACGTGAAGGCAACTGGAATGTAATGGACCATACGATTACACTTGGTTTCAGACCTGTATGGGGATGCATAATGCATGACATAACGTGGCATTTTTTTTGATGCAAGACCATGGATGTGATCCTTGATGGTGTTGATGTATTAAGATTCATCTGGAAAAAATTCATTTATATTATTATCCTTCTATTTGCAAAGTTCTATGCACAACTATAGCTGTAGTCACTTATAATGTTCTAACGAGGTTTTGGTTAGGTTACTTGAACATGGCAAAGCATCTAAGGGCTGCTAATTTTTTCTACCAAAGTTTTAGCTGAAACAATGGTCACTTTAAAAAAAAAAAAAACTACTTTAACTTTTTGCTATGTAGCACCTACTTAGTTCTGAACTGAAGAATAATATAACTGTAACAGCCATACATACAGATGTAGTATGTTATCTTAATCAATGAGTCTCAAACTAGTGAGTTTCATCAGCTTAAGTATTCACCAACTTTAGGAAAACCAGATCAAGTAGGATAGTGCTTTTTTTTTTTTTTTTTTAACATAATTAAATATAAAGTATCAGCATATGTGCTTTAAAAATGATAATTCAAATTGTGACAAAGGTACCTATCGATTATATTACTACATCATGTCAGATTTTTAGAGGGTAGTTATTTCCCAGCAATGATGTCTGTGCGTTTTCTTTGGTGGTAAAATAAAAATCTCATAGAATTGAAATTAATAATCATTCCAAAAGCATATTGCAATAGTAAAAGTTCTGATATATAAGCAAATAAAGTCATTATGTGGAAGAAAGGAAAATTGGTTTGAGGGAAGCACAGCATATTAATTTTTTGTTCATCACAAGTTCACAAAGTGTATGACTTACTCAAAATAATTCTAAAATGATGAATTTTGGTACTTTCTAATTTTCTGAACCTCACCAAAATGCTGTGAAAAAGTACTGATGGTCTAAACCCATGATCGCGAAAGAAGAATTTGTGTGGCTACACATGTCACTAAAAAGCATTTATATGGCAACCCAAGTATACACAGCATTCTCCCAGACAGCACTTCTCCAGATATTTTCACCAGTGTGGTTGCAGATTATGATCCCTCCTATGGGAATTTCAGTACTTCAGCATTAGGGTGGACCACATACCGCAGTTTCTGTTGTCTCTGGTAAAATCTTTGGCGATGTCGCTTTCTGCATGCATACAACATAAAAGGCATCACATGCCTCTCTTTCCTTTCTCATTTTAGGATTCTGGTGGCAAAATTTTGCAATTTTTTTTTTTTTTTATTAAAAGATTTATAGGGAAAACAACGGTGAAAAAAAGCCTAGAATTGTGCGTGTCTTGTATTGAAGAAGAAAAATGTAAAACAATAGGTGGTGGTGGATGCATCGTTGAAATAAATTTAAAGATATGCAAACAAACATCCCTCTCCTAACTCACCAACAAGTTTGCAAATGCTCTTCAAAGTTGCCCTTTCTTTCCTTTCCTTTTCCCACTATTGCCGTGTGTAGCTTGCTGATAGCAAGCTGTATACCGGCTGTCATGAATTAAAAAGTACATTGCAGGTATAGCAAATGCTTGAGTGTGTCCGGAGGACAGGATGCAAAATGAAAGAAGGTATGACTACTTTGTCACGTGAGGCTATAGCGGTGTCTGGTAGGCTGGAGAGATGCTGGTCCGAGTTTCAGGTACAGTGTGCAATATTCCGAGTTTCAGGTACAGTTACAAATATTCAGTGCATAAACTCATCAAAGTGCATTTTTCTCACAACTAGAAAGACTATATACAAAAGTAAAATTCCGCAGGGAGTCCAGCAGAAGCAGTCAAAGATATCTCTTAGTAGAGGTCTTTTGATTGGCTGTTGAGACGTGTATGCGAAAATCATGAGAAAATTTGCTATTTACAAAATATTCAATTGCAGAGACATAAAAAAAAACATATTTTTCCAGTAAACTAGAAGTTAAATTAAATAAAATAAAAGAAATTTGAAACCAATAGGAGCAGTGAGAGATCTACAGTAAGCAGTAGAAGACTTTAGTTCGTAGTCACGTGGGAGGTCACCCTCCCGTGCCTTGACCCCGATAGTGGCTGCTTAACTTTAAGCGTTTCAGTTTTCCAAGTAAACACAGGGTAAAAACTTAGGTTGGAAAGTTCTGATTTTCATTGAGGATAAATGCAGTAAATGGTCTAAGGTGCCTGTCTTCGTGCAATATTTCATATTCAAAGAGGTTAAATTGACGCATATGATTGCAGTCCTGGGCTTCTCTGAAGAAATTCCGATTTTGCTTTGCGATGAACTTATCTAAGGGGTCGATCTTGAGGTCATCTTGTAGACACTTATTTGTCACGAAATAATGAGCATTCGTAATAATCCTGAGATAGCGGTTCTGCACAACACATAATTTATTGAGGTCAGTTTTGGTCAGGGCGGCCCACGCTGGGGAGGCGTAAGTCATGATCGGTCTGATCGCAGACGTGTAGATGAGCCGCTTTTTTCCCAGGTCGAGAGTGGAGTATTTACCAATAATTGGGAAGAGACATTTGATAATTTGTAAGGCCTTATCCCTGACGTAATTTATATGGTTAGTCCACGTTAAGCGATCATTTATAATCACTCCGAGGTACTTGGCATGGGGAACAATTGGAACAATTTCGTTAAATAGATAAAGTCCTCTTTTGACAGGTGTGTTCCTTTTATTTCTGCGTATGAGGAGAAGTTGAGATTTGGCTGCGTTTATTTGGACTTTCCATTGCGCGCACCATCGTTCAATGCTAGGAATGACATCTTGTAGTTTTTTGATGGCGTGATTCATATTAACAGACTTTACTGCCAGGGCAGTGTCGTCTGCATAACAGGCCAAAATAGCGTTATTTTGAGATGCTTGAGGAAAGTCAGCAGCATAAAATAGATACATATAAGGTTCAAAGTTGCCAATGAGTTCATGACTTTTCGGTGCCAATGAGTTCATGACTTACCACATCTGTGGTAAGAATGTAAATTCCATATATTTTATGGCTGTTGTTAAAGATGGAATTAAACACAGGAATTTAATAACTTATATTTAAACACAAATTACTTATTTCCATGTTTCTCTTAATGGGAGAGCAAACATAAATATTGGTGCAAAGTGTAGTTTAAAATATTAATGGTAAATTTAAAACACATTGAAAATGCAATTTGGCACACTAGATCATCCCCATCTTTAAAAAAAAAAAAAAAAAAAAAAAAAAAAAAAGGTAATGAAGTAGAAATGGAAAATGAAAATAACACTGTGTATTTTAAAATATAAATGAAAATTTAGAATAATCCGAGCAATGTTTATGTGTCTAAAAAGCATATTCCTTACTACCTTATGCATAATAAAGGTTACTGATAGAATTAACTGACAACAGTTACTTTTAAAACAAGAATAATATTAAGATCGATTGAAAGGTTATATTTAATTTAATGGACAGTAGGCAATGTAGGCATATATGTTTTGCTGTAAATTGACTGGCAAATGTTATTCAGTAAAGGAAAAGATCCCACGTGTGGCTTTCTCTATATCACTACTTTGATCTAGTCCATCACTAACAATATTTTTCCTGGAATTCCATCTCAGGGTGAAAAGTGAGATAAATTTAGGTGTAATAATTGTAAACTTTTCTAATCTTGTTCTTAAAAATGTGGTTGTATCACGATAAAAGATTAATAAACTATGTTAAATACTGTTTTTCCAACATTTCATTAGCAAAATGCTATATGGATATAACCCTCTCAAGCAAATAACCCATTTTCCTTCCTTTGTAATGATCCGGTATTTCTCCAGTGTGTATTGCATAAAGTGAAAATATATATTAACATATGAATTAATTCAGTTGTACATAAAATCACCTCCTGACTTAACTGATGTTTTTAAAGGATTAAAACATAACCGCTCTAATCCGAACAAGTATGGCTGGAGTACGAGAAGCTTTACCCCGTGACAAAACAAATGACGTCGAAAGCTCTATGTTACGTCTAAATTCTTCTAACCAATAGCAGCGAAGCAGCTCTCACAGCAGGAGGTACAGCGAGTACGTTTTAGGAACATGCGTCTGTGTAGCTAGACTTTTCTCTGCGATATTTGGCAACATTAGTTTTCCCTAAATTGGAGTGTGTTTGTTAGCGAAAGTGCGTTGATTAGAACAAAATTGTATGATGTATTGTTCCTTAGTAGCAAATATATCACTTTTCATTTAAATTTTGTAGTAAAATGTCTCTTTAACCGCTAATTCGTTGAAATAAATTTGAAGTATATTTTTTTATTACATATAAAAATTCTGCATGTTCCCTAAGTTTTATGAAACATTACACGTCTTGGTATAGGACAACAACTTAACGAGTGCGTCAGTTATGATCTCTTTCTTCTTTATTTTAGTTGATGTAAATTTGAAATATTTTAGAATTTAGGTTATTCATAATTTCAGGTTTTTCGAACTGAATCTTATCTTTTTTCTGGAGTGATTTTTGGAAGAATTAATTTTGCGTAGTCTAGTTATAACCAGTATGTACGGTGAAAAACTGTAATAATTTTTAAAATTACTGCTATGCTAGAATTCTTTAGTTTGTAAGTAATATGTATTTGATATCTGGGAACAGCTTTAGTATTGGTCCTTCTGGCGATTTTTTGATTTGGCGACAAACTTCGGTCGCCAATGTATACCGGCTTTCAAGATCGGAAAAAAATGGCGGATTGTCAACAAAATCCGATCTAGACTAAATACTAACTCACTAGACTAACTGTACATCTAAACATTATAAGAGAATAAAAGTATATCTTAACTTAATAGGAATATATCTAAACTTTATAATAATAACATTTAAAGACATTGAAATCAGTACCTAAGTGCTTGCCATGTAGTCAAATTTTTATATATAAATTGTACTCTTATTATAGAGTTTTTATTACAAAAAATTCAGATTTCTGTTAGATAAAATGTTTAAGTAATGTAGAAAATTGGCATAAAATTTAAAATAAAAAGTCGACTGTTATGTCAACATACTATTAATAAAAGTAATAATACTCAGTGAAGGTTATTCATATACAGCTATTATTAGGTTGTAAGATTTACAAAATTTGAGAACTGTAAATTATAAGCAATATATTTCATAATCTAAGCAACATTATATTTTTTATAGTCAGTCAAATTATAAAAATGTTATAAAAGCAATAATTTTGGTCCTGATTTGAACCTATGAATTCATGCAATTACTCATCCCTATAGTTCTAATATGAGGCAAAAAAGTATTTTTAGACCATGGTAATTTTGATCTCCTTAGCAAAGGAAACACAAAGAGGTTTACCTTATGCTACTCAAAATGTGTTTTTTTTTTCCTTGGGGAATGGAGTTTATAATATGCAGAGTTGACATATGAAAAAATGTACAGACTTATGTGATGTAATATTAAAAGCACCAGTTTTAACTATCAAATTTTGGCTTTTTAAAAAATATTTTAAATGTTGTGCTTTCCTAACACAAAAGTAACTTTAAGAAAAACATGCAATTTATCCCTCCTGCCATCAAAGCTCTGATACCCACCAAATTCAATAAAGTTACGTGGACAGAAATGGCGGCATGTTTTTGAGCTCAGTATTTAGGGTTACCAAGGTTATCATAATTTTACGTTTATTGCTCCACAATGTCGCCAAAACAAATTTCTCGCCAAAAAGGACTAATACTAAAGCTGTGCCGATATCTGTAACTATATGAAAAAATATTAGTATAAGTCAACAATTCAGTTATTTGGCAGTTCAGTTTTGGTGGAGAAGTAGCAGTCTTCTAAATTGTTTATCCTCACTTTAATAAATTTAACTAATATTTGCTGTAATTTAAGGCAGTGTGTGCGAAGTAGGCGTACTAAAAATTAATAATGCAGAAAATATGCTTATTAGATCTTAATAAAATGCTTCATATATTTTAAATGAAACCAACTTTCTGTTGTAAAATGTTATTTGAATGATGATGTAATTGAAAAATTCTGTTGATTTTTTCTGTAGTAAAGAACTAAAAAGCAGTTTTAATTACATTTCTAAGATAGATAAAATTTTTCCCTACATACACACTCTACAACAACTATACAACTACTTCTTTACTTTTAAAAGTAAGCTTGACTTTTAGGTAGCTAAGTTTTTAACTTAATGTACTACTCGATATTTAATAATTTTTTTATAATTGTGTGTTCTAAGCTAGAAATGGTATTATAATTTCGTGAATGAATGTTTTCTACATGTACCATCACACATACTTATTGTTCCTATCTGCATACATGTATCAATGTTTCTTTTCTTGTCTTCATTCTGCGTTTGTTGTAATAGATAAGCTGTAGTTATCCATGTATTTTTGCACAACCTACCATAAAATGCTTTAAAATTCAAATAAAGTTATTTTTATGATTATTTTTTAGAGTCATTTTTGTCAATTTCTACTTTTGTCTCGTGTTCTTTGGGATATATAACTTATTGGAAGTTCAAAAACAATTTTTATTTCAGAATTTGTAACAGGAAAAAAAAATATGAAGAGCTGATTAAATGATCATAATTTTATTTAGTTAAAAGAAAATTTCGTTCTAGTGTAGAATTGGGTGCCCCTTCGATTAGCGACAATTTAAAAAAAATTTTGGCGATTAAACCTCACTTCTGGTTACGATGATAGTTTTAACTTTGTTTTAGCTTCCTGATTTTATTTAAATGAAAAATAGATTAATGTGTACATGGACAAATTTAAGGCAGTGCACAATGCCTAGTTTTTGCAGTTCTAGGTTATATTTTTAAGTGAAAACAGATTGATGTATACATGGACACAGAGTTTGTACAATTCTTTGACTTGTTTTGGTTTTTCATAGCGTCCACCTTGAAATTGTGCCTTCTTGGCATCAAAAAACAAGGGGCACCCAATTGCAAACTTTTACCGAAAATTTCTGCTGCTTCATAGAAAAAGGAGTGCAGAGAAAGATTTTTCTCCACTGCTTTTATGCAATGGCACATACTCACAGTCCAGCTTAGTGATTTGTGAAAATAGTAGTGAGAGGCCCTTGAAAATGTTCGAGCTGTTATATGAAAAAATAAACAATCTGTTGGTTAATGGAAACTGAACATTAATTTAAAGATTCATATTTGTTCCTGTTGATGCTTTGCCAATAATATCACTTATTGCTTTGCCTTTCTGTGAACACTGGTAACTTTAGAACCTCTTTTAAATTTTTCTGGAAATAATGTATTTTTTATTTCATTTTCTTTTCTTTATTATCAGTACTGTTAAGGTAAACGGGCAGCTTTTTTTTTATTTAGAGCAAGCACACATCTGCATTACATTTTTTTTTTTTTTTTATTATCCCTTTTTTCACAAAAAGTTCTCAGAACAATGTTATTATGCCCAGTGTTAATTTTTATGCATTTTGCATCATTTCTTTACTAAATATGCCCAGATAAGAAACAGATTATTTTGAGGAAATGTGGTATTCTAGCAAAAGTTGCGAGTGTTCCAATTCGTGCACAATAAAATTGTGCATAATAGAATTTTAATGTTAAAGTAAGGACTGGGAGTTTGTTCTTAACAATATATCATATCGTTATGATATGTTCATATGTTCTTAACAATATATCATATCATTATGATATGTTCATACAGAGATGTCACATGGCTTCTCAACTAATGGACGATAAACTGCAAAAAGCAGTAATCAGTTTGATCCAGGTGCCAGTATTCCTCTATAATAATAAAACACTATAATCGATCTGCCAATATTGAAAATATGTTTTATTACCAAAGGCACCAGTAGTTTGGTGATTATATTAGCAGACATGGTTAATCTTTGGATTATGGTAACTTGGTGAAAATTTGGCGACCAACCCTGCTACAGCAACCTGCTAGTCTTTGTTTGGACGCCATTTTGTTTTCACAAAGTAAAGGCATTTTTTTTTACTCAACATTTTTTTTCCAACAATCTGCTAGCTGAATTACGCTTATGCTAGAACTTTTATGGAACAAAAGTGCTTAATCATGACGAAGATTAGGTGCGAAATTGGGAGAAAGTGCAGAATCACAAACTGCTTGCCGCATTTTTAAGAATTGCACATACATGGTACCCATGTACACGTCAACCTATTTTCACTTAAAAAACATCCCAGAATTGCGTAAAAATGGCATTGGGCACACTCTTGACTTTATCCATGTACACTGCTAAAGTCCTAGCTAGTAACCTCTATCGCCTTACCAAAATGTCACCAAACTACCGATTACCATATTCCAAAGATTAGCCGCAGACATTACCCAAGCATTTTTTTAAAAATAAATTTTTCTCCTTCTTATTTGTAAATTATTTATATAACTTGAATCAAGACGTTTGTGTAACTGAGTAACAGCAGTACCATCAAATAAAATATATTCAATTTTTTAAATGCTTGAAGGTAATTATGTCAATTTTATGAGTATTTATGTCATAGTAATGATAAACGATCAAGTATAGTATCAGATTGATGAATAATTTTAATAAAGAAAATACATATATTTTTTGTAAGCTAACATATTACGTGTACATATTTAGATATTTTATGCATGTAATATAAAATATTTAGCCATGTTTTCTGCATAAAAGTATAAGTCTGGCATTTAATGTGAAAATATCAAAGTATCTGCATAAGAAAACCTCTTTGTTTTAAAATCTTGCTAGTAACATAATTCAAAAGTTCTGGTTTTGAGTAAACTTTTATATGGAAAGGAAAAATTCGTTATTCTTGATTTAGAAATGATAGGAAAGTTTGAGCATAACTGCAGTTCCAGTGAATGTGGTGCATTTCATCCAGTTGCATAACTAGGGTGGGCCAAGGAGGGACATCTGTCCCCTGGTGCAGCATCCAGGAGCAATAAATTGATGTTCTCAAATTTTAGAATGAAATGTTTTCCATTGTTGATACACAAAAAGGGGCGCAAAATCTTCAGTTCTCCTCAGGCGCTGAAAACCCTAACTATGGCTTTGATTTCATCTTGCTGAGAAACAGAGATAAGGAATTCATTTACTGAACACCATTTGTCAATCTGTGGTCCATAGACCATAAATGGTCCTATAAACCTGCCCTTTTGGTCCTTGCAGATAAATACCAAAATGTAAGTGTTATAATATATGCTGTAAAAATTGCTGTTGAAAGGAAGAAGAGCAAGTTGATCCACATCTCTTAGTGGATGTATATGTTGTATGCATGCATACAAGTATGTACATATGTATGTGTGTGTACACACGTATGTGCACACAATACAATAATTATACATGTGTACATACATATATTTTTTAATCTGGTCCTAATAACAGAAGAGTACTGAGCATTCTAATTTGTGAAAGTGGTCC